CTTGGTGCTTATGCTTTGCATATTGAGTTTTTCATGAACATTGGTGATTGTTTTGCATTGATCATTTGCATTGCTTTGCTTGATCTTAAGAAATTGTATGGTTGAGATGTGCTTGTGGTGGTTGCTGCCCCACAATTTTTCCTCCCTCTTTTCTTTGTGTGTGCATCTTAGGATGACACCTCTTTACTTTGATGATTGATGGTTGATGGTTGTAGGAGCTTGCTTCTCCCATTTCATCTCATCTCTTGTTGACTTGTTTAAGTTGGCTTGTTCTTGTGTTTGAGTCTCATTTTGTTCTTGAGCCTTTGTTGCATTCTTGCATTTGTGTTTGCATTTCATATTGCATTAACTTGTTTAAGTCATTTTCATCTCATTTTCTTTTCATATGTGATTGAATTGCTAGGTGTTTACTTGGTCTTTTGCCATGATCCCTTAGGATTCCTAGTCCCTCTATTTAAGATGGGAGTAGGAGAGACATTAGGTGTTCAATCCTTTGCATGATAACATTAGGATAGATTTCCCCTTTCAATTCCAACTTTAGGATCACTTTGCATGATAACATTAGGGTTGATTAGTTTCCCCTTAGAGTTTGTGTCTTCACTTCTCATTTCCTAACATCTTAAGATACTTAATAAAGGATAATAAATGTTGTACGCTACGAGCCTTAAGTACTTGAGGAATGATAGTTGGGGGGGCCTCCTCTCAATCTGTCTAGAGTGTTTAGCGTATGCGCTTTGGGCGATATGCGACGCATTCGCTCTCAAGTCATAGTCTTTAGTGCAACATGAGTTACAAGCTTAACTCAATTCACTTCTTGTTAAAAAACAAAAAAACAAAACATCAAACCTTTTTATCCTTTAGGATTGTTTGGAAAATCATTTTCAGAAAGAGTGTGTTAAGTCTTGGTTCTACCGCAAACAGGCATCGTCCCTAACTGCTAGAACGAAGGTTTAACCCTACTCAATTAAAACACTTGAACCAACTTGTGGTCGTGTCAGCCCGAACTAAGTTTGCTCTGATTTCTCATACCAGATGAGGATACGTAGGCACAAGACGGCGATGTCTTGGCGAGCAACCTTTTCCCCTTCACCCGCAGTTTTCTGAACTACGTTGACTCTAACTTTCCCATTGCATGAGGGAGTACATAGGCATAGAGCGGTGATGCTCTATCAAGTCTTTTTTCTTTTCTTTTGTCCTTGTGAGCCAGCCTTTTGATAGATTAACACCCTTTTAGATAGACAACAAGCGTGGATCCCGTTGAGTACAATGAACATGAGGGGTGCTCATATCTTCCCCTTGCATAACCGACTCCTGAGATCGTTTCCTTTCCCTCTCTTTGGGATAAATAACGAACGGTGGCGACTCTTCTGTCTTTGTCGGTCCTTTTTCGCAGTAGCGACACTAGTTCTCCTGAAAACTTTAGGAATTTTCAGACTTTTAATCCCCTAGGAAATTGAGTTTGAAAAATATAATCAGACAATGGGGAAGCATAACTTGGCCTATGGAAGCCAACATTCTTCCCATTCTGTGCCATAATCATTTCGACCATGGCAGCCAAATTGTTATCACCTGCCATACCATCATTCCGAACTTGATGTACGACTTCGTTCGTGTCATGATTCATATTAACTATCACCACCCTTGGTTCATGCTCCCTTGGAACTGGTTGTTCAACCCTAGGAGGTTCGACTCTAACTCCTTGATCAACCACATCGACACGGGGTACGTTTCGCTGGGCTTAGTTAATTGTTAGATCCTCTTCAAAGATTTCCTCTTGGTTTTCGACTATCAACTCCCTTCGAATATGTTGAGGTGCTTGTGGAACTCCAAAGAAATATGCATTTCGAGTCATCTGTGCTGTCAATTGCTGATTCGTTTGGACGGTATTTTGAATCAACGGATTAAATATGGTGCCCACCTGTTGGGCAAGCATATATACCATATCATGGTTACTTTCGTCCATTTGCTGCCTCAAAACTGTTGTAGGATTTGTAATAAAATTGGGCATCTGGGTAGAGAATCACATCCCTAGGGATGGGTTAATTTGACTCATATTATTAACAGCAGATCTAGACCCTTGCACAGGCGAAAACTTGTTCACCACTGGGTGATCGAACGCTGTAGTTGCATTATGTAAATTCGCCATCATCGAAGTCGACATGCCATATGGCTGTTCGCGACCATTTAAAGGCGTTGTGAATTCAAACACAAAAAGCCTGAATGAACTAGTGCCCACTGGGGGATGGGTCATCGGTTGACCCTGCCTCCTCACAGGAGACAAAATCGGTCCACTGTAAGCATTCGACAGTATGGCCATCGTACTTGATGTGGATGGAATTACTTTGGACACAGACGTTGTGGCCGTAGTTTCCCCCGTCGAAGGAGGGGGTTATTCTACATTATTATTTGGCAGATTCACCATCGTTACATGGTCTCCTTCTTGGCATTGATTCATTATTAGTGTTTATTTTACCACTTCTTAATCTCATGCAACAAAGTTTAAGGAAACCAGAAATGAAGAACTTCTAAATATTTTTCACAAATTCTAACTAACAACATTGGTCCCATTGGGCATGCCAATTTGTTTACCGTCAAAATCGGTAAACAACCGCTAGTCTTCCAAATTTATTAAATCTTTGGTTACTTACAAGATCATATATATTGATCCTAAGACATGTGTTGCTATTTAGTTTCTGAGTTTGTTAATTACGAACATTTCGACAATGTTCTTCAAAGTTGTTAATGAAACGTTGCAATTCTTTAAAGAAATGCAGAAGTGCAAATTACAAAGTAAATTGACAAAATCTTAAATGTCGAAACTGGCTTTAAAATAAACTTCATCAAATGTAAATTACAAGAAGAATCTTAAATAATCTGGTAAAAAGAGTAACATATAGTATTCACACGTACATTTTTACTCAAGAACACTTGTTTCTCACGCACAGGTACTTAGAGTAAACTTAGAGTTTTTTGTACAAGTTTGAACACCCTCGAATCCTAACTACTAAGACTCTATTTATACTAACTCGAAAATAATCGCTATCTAACGATCTTCCCGCCAGAAAATGCCATGTCTTCAATCTTCATGCATTTCACTGCTCAAAGCTCTCCCCATGTCCTAAAAAATAGATAAGGCCAAAAGACAATTATCAACCTTATTTTGAATTGCACCTGTCGAACACTACCTCAAGTTAGCTTCGTCGAACTCCAGTCTAGGCCAAAAAAATTTATAAGTCCTAAACCAAACTTCCTTGATAAACAAATCCTGCGTCGAAATGTTCTTATAATTGTGTTTTTGAAATCAACATATTATTCTTCTGAATATATCTTTGACTCCTATGACTTACTTTCAACATTAATGTGTCAAAATTCCAGCCAACAGACTCCCTGTATCTTATCTTTGTCTTAAGCTTAGAATTTTTAAAGGTTGTCAAGACAAAAATGCAAGAGATACACATTTATAATTGTTGAAATCCAACTGGTCCATAACAAGCCCATAACTCAGCACATTGGCGCATGGATCCACAAACCGAAAGGAAGAATACCATAACACATGGACTGAGAAATCTAGGCAAGAAGACCAAACCTATGACTCATTGCGAAACAAACTGAACTTCCGCCCATCCGAGCCGCCGCTTGCCAGAGATCTATCGTGCCTCCTTTGATCCCAAGTCCCAAACATATGACCACTTTCACGTGGTTCTAACACCACTTCCCGACAATATCCATGATCTTTATATGTCATTCCCCACCATTACTCAAACATCGTCACCTATCGCTCTCTTTCGTCGCTTCCAACCATCAGACCTCTGAACCCTCTACATGTGGTTCCCACCTTTTCTGTAAAGCTTTTGGCTAAATTTACGACTTTTTGGTTACTAAATTCTTAAAATATGTTCTCTTTCTCTTCATCACTTATGGTTTTAAGGCATATTTCATCAATATCCACCTTGAGTTAAAACTGTTGCGATGTCAATTTACCCATCAACCAACTTGATGGTCTCTGCCAATTTAAGCCCTGCTTAAACCTTGACCTTGCCACTTGCATCCACTTTCTCCCAAGAAACGTTTTCTTCTTCAATAGTCTAGCAAGCCCGAAAGTATGATTCTTCAACCATCTTTGACTCCGCCTATTTTCGAATGACTCCTTGAAGATCTTTGTTCATGAGTTTTGCCACCTTTCAACCACATTCAAAGCATAACACCCAAGGCCTGTATAAATTTTCCTTTGAGATGGTACAGTCTCCCTCCTTACCATATAATAAGTCTAATGATAATCAAAGATCTTTGTAAACGTTCCCTCACTATTACTAATATCAATAATAGAAACCTCCACTTTAAATTGAGCATTCTCTGCCATAGTTTTTAAAAGCTTCATCCCTAAGTCTTTATTCTTCTTCCCCAAATGCTACTCATTAAAAGTAATACAACTATTTATGAATTTTGATTCTCATGGTATCACTCCCAATAACTTTTAACCATTCCAACCTCTTAGATAGCTATTAAAAACATAACCCACAAATTTACCATAAAGCTGAATTAACTTGATTTTTAAAATACCTTTTCCAAAACTTCATAAGTGCATATTTTAAATTTTTTGATCTATAGTATACTTTAGAATTGAAGAAATAATAATAATAAGTATTCCTATAAATAAAATAATTTTATTTGATTGCCTTTTCCTCATGCCAAAAAATTATTCTTATTTTAATATATTCAATAGATTAGTAAAACAATAATAGTTAATAATTAAAAAAAAGTTTTTTTCTTGTTTCATGCCCATTTAAATTGCCTGTTTTAACAAGTCTTATTTTTTTTAGTAGGAATTAATAGTCTTACTTTTATATTAAAAAATATATATATTTTTTACAAAATAATTAAAAATAAATAAAAAATTTACATGAAGTAAATAAATGGTATGTTTATACCTCGACCCTTCATCTTTCACTTCATTCATCATAAAAAGCAAAACTTCAAATAGTGTCCTCTTCACTTCAAAAATGGATGACACAATCATAGAAGCTAGAGAAGAACTCATACTTTCACCGTCATCCAATGAAAACAAAACTCTAAGAACTGCATATTTTCTCAAACCTTCCATCCAACACTCTCTTTTTCCTCCTCCCAAGTTTTCTATATCCTCTGAAACTACCACAAAGCTGCCGCTAGAAATAAGGTACAATGGATGGAGACCACCCACAGAAGAATGGAAAAAATGGGTAAAAAAGTTACAACCAAAGTTCGAATATTTATGGATACAAACTGGAATATACCAAGCAATCAAAGCTTCTACATATGAAATCAAAAGGGATGATGAGTTGGTTCTTGAACTTGTCAATAGATGGTGTTCCGAGACAAATACATTTGTTTTTCCATGGGGAGAATCAACATTAACATTGGAAGACACAAAGGTTTGTTTTGGTTACTCTCTTTTGGGTTGTTCTGTTTCTAACCCTCTTATGAACAGTGAACAAGTAAAAGCAGAAGAGGAATTAATGGAAGCAAGAAGAATCTTTAACAGTTCTAAAGCTAAAAAAGTGAATCAAAGAGCATGGATGATGTATTTCATGGAGACTGAAAGTAAAGTGGAACATGAAGCTTTTCTGGTTTATTGGTTATCAAGGTTTGTTTTTCCCGCAGATGCTTATGAGATTATTCTGAAAAGTGTTGTTCCTATTGCAATACATTTAGCTAATGGAAATAGAATAGCTCTTGCACCAGCTGTTTTAGCTAGTATTTATAGAGATTTGAGTTTACTTAACAGCGTCATTACAAAAAATGCTACAACAAGCATGAAGAGTTTAAGGGTAACTATTTGGGCCCCATTTCAATTGGTTCAAATTTGGGCTTTAGAGAGGTTTTTATATCTTAAACCTCGTCCTTATACCATAGGGCATGGTTTACCAAAGGTAGCTAGGTGGGGTGGAGTTAAAGTAATGAAAAATAAAAAGTTGAAAAAGGACTTGGATTGTGCAGGATTTGGAAATGGTTTTCTGTGGCAACCATACGAGAATTCACCATGTGTTCAGGTTTATAATGAAAAAGATATGTGGAAATGTGATAATCCTTGTTTAAATGAAGAGTTATTGTCCTTTGCGCCGTGTTTGAGAGCATGCGAGTTGGTTGGAATGGGATGTAAAGAGAAGTACTTTCCTCACCGTGTTGCTATGCAATTTGGTATGGATCAAGACATTCCCGGTAAGGTTGCTTTTTGTAAGAAAGATCCTTGGGTGATTTATAGCCAGCCAGCGGCATTGTTGGATATCGATTTGCTCGTTCAGTTGTGCTCTAGCAAGCCTGCAGGTGTTACTTCTAGATACTATGATTGGTGGAAGCAATTGAAATCAAATGAGGAAAGTGATAACAAGAGAGTAAAATTTGAGAAACAAGAAATGGAAGATTCTGATGAAGAGGATGATTTGTTAGTTTATGAAATATCAAGTTCTGATGATGAAGTAGTTGAAAATGGAAAGGCTTTGTCTAGCAATGAATTTGGTGATTTTACATCATCAAATGTGGGTGATGAGGGTGAAGTCAATATTCAATGTTGCGATAGAAATGGTGAAAAAGAGGAAAGTGTTAATCCTTTTACATTAGACATGGAACTTGATCTTGAAAAGAGGATTGAGAAGCTTGAAAGAGTGGTGTATGAGCTTAAAGAAGCAAGATTTGGAAATAAGGCATAATACTCCTTGGCTGGTCTGTAACAACACCACAACAACACTTTTTTGGTGGAATAGAACCAACTTGTTATTCCTAATTTTGTGTAATAGTTTACAACAATTTATAGCTTATTCGCGTTGTATGTTGAGCTACCGATGTGATAGTTGTTTTCATTTTGAAGTATGTAATTAGTCTGAAGGTGCTGAAGATTATCGAAACATGGAAATGAATGAAGTTAGTGAGTTTGATGTAGTTAAGACTTCATCTGTTGATTATAATATTTTATAAGTAGCCAATTATGGATCTACATTAATGAAGAATTTGTTCATAATAAAGCATTTCAATTTCCTATTAATTAATGAAGTAGCAGAATTTAAGTACTCCTTCATTCATGAGATCAAAGACTAGTTACTATTCTTTAAAGATGGTGTAAATTAATGGTGAGTGAAGATGCAGTTGTTTTATGAGCTTTTGAATATATGTGGCGATTATAAAAGATTTTCATTAAAATAATATTTCTTCCGGTTATTTTTATAAGATATTCTTCACTTTTTTAAATTTATTAAATAATTAATATATTTAATTTATAGTACAAATTAGATATATTAATTATTTAATAAATTTAAAAAGATGAAGTGTTTCTTATAAAAAAAAATTGAAGAGAATATTAAATTAATACCTTACATATCTTTTGAATGACAGTGCAATGTTCACCGTCAAATTCAGTATTAAAAATTCTCTTGCATTATTTGTTATATTTATTTCGTGGATTACAATCTATTGTTGGTGTGTAGTTTGTAAAAAATGGCTTAATTGTAATTTTGACGAGGTATATAATGTGAGTTTAAAATGTGAGTTTAAATCGTTTCACAATTTGCTTTATTAAAAGTTGTGAACGGAAGTGTGATAATGGAAGATTCAGGTATTCATCCTTTCGACATTTTGAATTATAACTTTAACAAATATCGATGTTTTAATTAATCGATCATTGAATATATCTGCTTACATTTAGTATCAAAGTTTAGATTATATGAGTTAAGACTCAATTACTTGTTGTTAATATATAATTATTCCCTCCTTTCATTTTTAAGTGTTATTTTTTGAAAGAAAAAATTGTTTCCTCGTAAGTTTTATTTCAAAGTTTAAAGTAATATTGATAGTTAGTTTGTCAAAATTACCCCTAATTATTTATTATAAGGAGAAAAAAGTTAAATAAATTAATAAAAAATTAAGGATAAAATAGAAAAAAAAGATAATCATTATTTAAAAAGTAACAAAAATTATTAATTTTTTTAACGTGTAAAATGTAAAAAAATTGACGTTTAAAAAATAACCGAGGGTATATAATTTAATTACTCATTTGTTTCACAATAAATAATTCAATTGATTTTTAAATATAAACTTTTTAAAAAAAATGAATGAGAAAAAATAATATTTTAATCAAAATGCTCTTCTATGTATTGTAAATAATAAAAGAAATATTAATTAAAAAATAAATTTGAAAAATATACATTAGAAATTAAAATAAATTATTTATTTTAAAACATTTTTTATTTCAAATGAATTAGGAGGAAGGGAGTACAGTTTAATATGATTGTTGCCTTTATTTAGTACTAGCGTCCAGACGGGCACTCGCGTGCCCGTCTGTCCACTTTTTTATTGCACACATATAAATATAAATAATATATTTTTATTTAATTTTAATTTTACATGGAAGTTATTAGTAGGGAGTTATATGAAAGATGATAGTAGTAGTTCAATAAAAGTTATTGTGTAAAATAAGGGTAAATTTGGTATAAAAAAGAGCTACACCAAAAACCAAGTATTGCCTTTATATATGTTATAGATTAGCGTCGTGTCTGTCTATCCGTTTTTTTTAATGTTCAAACATTTAAAAATATAAACGTATTTTTTGTATTTATTTTTTTTAATTTAAATTTTATATAAAAAAAATTGAATGAAATAGTTGTGCAAGCTACCATATACCAGTTAATAAAAAAGAAGTTATTAAAAGAAAAGTTGAATTTTAAAATAAAAAACAAAAGAGTATAATTGGAATAAAAATAGGCTACACCAACTTCAAGTTTTTCTTTTATATATGTTATAGATAAACGTATTTTTGTGTTAGTATTTTTTTTAATTTAAATTTTATATAAAAAATTGAATGAAATAGTTATGCAAACTACCATATACAAGTTAATAAAAAAGAAGTTATTAAAAGAGAAATTTGAATTTTAAAATAAAAAACAAAAAGGTATTGTTCTGGACTGGGCCCAGGCCTGCCCATCTGCCGGGTAGGCCCAGCCCAATGCTATTTGGGGAAGGCCCAACAACCAAATCTCCAGTGTCGGGCACGAGTCTAGGCACGCCGGGCAGGCTTCCTTCTCCCGTCGGGCAGAACAACACGTCTTCCACACGTTCTCCACGTGCCCCCTCCGCGGGGATACGTCATCATCCAACTACCCACCTCCGAAAGAGCTGGTCAGCCCACCTTCCGGAGATCACGGGACGGTTGAACTAAGGCGAAGACCACGTGCTAGTCTTCACTACGCCACATAAGCCCTAACAGTCACCTGGCTTGGGCCTGGCAATCCAGCCCAACACAAGTGATCGTTGGCCCTGCGCTAGGGTCTCTCTATAAATACCCTTTCTCACAGGAGAGTCAGGTATTCAATTCTCTATCTCTCTTCTGTATTTGCTCTCACACTGGTCCATTACTTACTTTGGCATCGGAGTGTCTTGCAGGTACACCCCCTCCTCCTCCCTACTTCCGGTGAACAACCTTCAGATCGACGACGCGTGGCAGGTCACTGATTCCCTTCTGATCAGGTAAGATCAGTGGCGCCCTCTGTGGGGACCTAAGCTTCCCCATTCTTCCGAGCAGAAGAACCAAAGCTCCCGATTTCAAATTCCAGGATCATGACTAGCCCACGTCACGATGATGCTGTCTACAACTCCGCCCTCGTCCCAATCACCAAAGGCGACGTCCAGGCGAGGACATCCCATGCCCGTGAGGGCGACACCGGAGATAGCCAGACCACCTCTCCCTTGTCCGAGGACGCGGCACATCATGTCGCACCTCGGGCAAGGAGTCCGACTGTCTTCCAGCCCGTTCCTATGCCAACTGGAGCGGACCTAACGATAACTGCCCTCTTCGCAACCACCAACCAAACAAACCTGATGTTGTTCCAGCAGAATGAGCGCATCGACGCACTAAAGCAGGATACCTCGTCTCGCTCTCCCCTGCGGAGAAATCAACGCGGAGACTCCCGGAGCCCCTCCCCCCGTCCACGGGGGCGCCAACCACAACTAGAGAGGCCCTAACCTGTGGCCTCCAAGAAACGCGCCAGGTCACCTCCCCAGAAGGAGAGGCGTTCCCCGGAGCCAAGAGCGAATAAACCTGAAGCTCCGAGAAAAAGACCGAGGGGACGTAATCAACCCCCTCAACATAACCCGTCGCCTTCACACTCCCTTGTCCGCATTGATGAAAACGACTATAGGACCTTCCTGTTGCGGGAAATCATGGCAACCCCCATCCCCCATGGGATGGAGAAACTGCCCGTACTCTCCACGTACGAGGGTACCTCGGACCCGGACGATCACCTAGAAGACATTGAGGCCATGCTCGACTACAGGAACGTCCGGGGAGCCATCAAGTGCAGGCTCTTCCCGATGATGCTGAGGAAAGAGGCCATGGCTTGGTACAAAAGCCTGGAACCTGAGTTCGTCACGTCATGTAGGGTTCTAAAGGATCTTTTTTCGCAGCATTTCACGGCATCACGACGGTATTCAAAGACGGAGGCCGCTCTGGGCGCAATCATCCAGGCCCCGGATTAACCGCTCAAAAACTACATTGAGAGGTTCACGAGGGAGGCAGTCCAGGTGACGACTTCGGACGATATGAAACGCTACCTTATGGAGCAAGGCCTACGTCGCGGCTCCAAATTCTACGAGGCCGTGGCGATCCACCGACCAACCACCCTGTAAAGCTTCCTCGACAAAGCTCGCCACTACATTCGGTACAAGGAAACCGAGGCTGCTAATGCTGCCTGGGAGTCCCTTAACCGCGAAAACCCCCCGGGTCCCGAGAAGAAGGAGTATCAGCCCCCTAGCATGGGGGAGATGGAAGACGAGACGATCGTCCCAGAGAGCCCCGTGAGCAGAGGGGCTCCGCAGGCCGCTTCACCGAATACACCGCCCTAGTCGTTTCCCACAAGCTCATACCAGCTGAGTGCGCCAACTCGGAGTTTTTCCTAGGAGGTGTTCGTTTTCCCAAACCGGCACCCCTAAGGCCAACATGGACAAGTCCAAATACTTCCGCTTCCACCGGGGCCACGGGAACGTAACGGAGGATTGCATCCACCTGAAGGACGCAATCGAAATACTCATCAAGGATGGACACTTGAAGAGATATACCAGGGGAGGAAATGCCCCCGACAAGAGGCCCCTGAAGCCAAAAGAGTCGAGGACATCCTTCCTCCCGACAACGAATTCGGGCTACAGGTGGCCCTCAGTGTTAGTCGGCCTGAAGACTAGTTTTTGCTAAGAGAACACAACCTCCCTACCGGGCATCAGCTGCCCGAGGAACCAGTGCGCCCCGTCAGCCTGTGGGAATAATTCCCCAGGGCGATGGTCATCTCAGGAGGGGCCCCGAACAAGCTCTCTGTGGGGTCGATAAAAAGGAAGTTTGACGAGCTAATGAACAACAACTCCAGAAAAATGAGCACGCTCGACAAATTCTACGGATGATCTAACCCGATCACGTACTACCTCGAAGAGCTCCCTGGAGGAGCCCCCAACTCGGCCATTCCCCTACTGATCCGGGCACAGATGGAAAACTTTGATGTACGCCGCATTCTGGTCGACGGAGGGAGTTTGGTGGATATCATGTATACCCACCTGTTCTCGACGCTACAGCTCGACAAGACCAACCTGACCCCCTACGTTGGCTCTGGCCTCCAGGGGTTCAACGGGATGACAACAAGACCATGGGGATACGTGGAGCTCAAGGTCACGTTCGGGG